GAGGTTCGTCTGAAGTACGAACGCGAGGTTCGTCTGAAGTACGAACGCGAGGTTCGTCTGAAGTACGAACGCGAGGTTCGTCTGAAGTACGAACGCGAGGTTCGTCTGAAGTACGAACGCGAGGTTCGTCTGAAGTACGAACGCGAGGTTCGTCTGAAGTACGAACGCGAGGTTCGTCTGAAGTACGAACGCGAGGTTCGTCTGAAGAACGAACGCGAGGTTCGTTAAAATTGAGCTTGACGCTCACCTGAGTTGAACGCGAGGTTCACCTTAGAACGAACGCGAGGTTCGTTGAGCGCGAAGCTCGGTTAAAATTGAACGAACGCGAGGTTCGTTTGAGTTAACCACCTCCTTAATTTTCGTCATGAACCCTTAGGGTTTCAAATTGAAACCGCCGCCGTCAAACCCAAAAAAATCTTTGATTTTTATTTTCAAAACAGATCCAGAATTGGAAAAAATTAAAGAAAAAAGCAAAGAAAAATTCAAAAAATTCCCAAAAGGCACTGTTCACCGGCGATTTTTTAGTTACTGTTCATCCGAACCCAAAAAATTTTACTGTTCATCCGAACCAAAAAAATTTTACTGTTCATCCGAACCCAAAAAAATTGAATCTTTAACCAGAGATTTAAGATCAAAAACCCAATAAAACTTAAATCCCTAAGAATTAATCAAGGTGGCTCTGATACCACTTGTTAGATCTACATCATAAAACTTGAGATCTAAAACCATATAGCCATGATTAATTCAAAGAGATTAACAAAATCAAAAGAGAGCGGAAGCTTATACCTGAATCCATTGCTTGATCTTTATTTTGGGTTTTGGATCTTCTAACCTTAGGGTTCCTCTAAATCCGAATTTCTCTCTTAGATGGGGGTGAAGAGAATTAGAGAATGTAACCATAGGTTAGGGACCATAACCCCTTATTTATAGATGTTGTACTTTTGTAATTTAGCCCCTCAATAAATTACAATTACAACCTGGTATCTGCACATATAACCCAATGACTTATTTAAATACCAAGTTAACCCAACTTAATTGATCACTTTAGTGGGTTATCCTGAAAGATAGCAATACACATTGATTAATCATATGTGCCCACAAATAGATTTATTAGATTAAATCCAACAACAGGGAGATAGATCTATATACTGACTAATCATGGAATATATTTTATGTAATAGCAAGGGAATACATACCCAGGGACAATGGGATACCTAGCCGTTCCTCACTCATTCTTTATTGTGGAGAGATCAGTATGACAAACTCCACAATACAATATTTTGAATATGATGTCATCATCATTTCATTTTTAGCTCTGCAAAAAAAAAAAAAAAATGAAAAAAAAAGAGTTAATAATGTTGCTACTATAATGTTACACTAAAAGAATATCTTTTGAAAAAGAAGATCTAGATAGCCTTATGGAATTAAGATGGCGAAAGAGCTTTTGGAAAATCCCAAAAATTATATTTGGGTTTAAACTACTCTGAATTGGAATGAGAGCTCACATTCTATCTTCTTTCTTTTGAGACATTCTATCATAATACCTCATTAGGAATTGGTTATCACGATATCTACTTGAAGACGTAGGAATAAAACCTTTTTTTGTGATGAAAAAGTAAGAAATATTAAATAGAAAACATAGGTATACCCCTAAACTTGGGCATCTTCTATTCATTTACGTACATCGGTAGATCACATTCTACGATGAAATTACAAAATCATGAAGGAAACACTGCAATTGCAGATGACACATAATTGTTTCAACAAGCATGACAATGATTTTACATTAAGTGGTAACGTCATAAAAAATTCTGAAGGAGAAGTAAACCATGAAAGTTTGTACTTTGCAATGGAAAAGATGAGGGAGAAGCTACCTAAGCGACAATTTGATAGGAGAAAGAACCCCATCAGCATCTTTGGCTGCCCAACCCAATGCCCTCTGTGAGTTCTCCATTCTCTTGCCTTGTCTATGTTGTATGTCTTCTCATAACAAAAGCCAATACCCTCTTCTATATGCGCTTAAGTGGGTCCAATGCATCATGAAAGTTCTAGAAGCTTCATAGTATGCTAGCGATAGTACCAAGATACAATGACATAGGAAAAATAGGAATAAGAAGTTGTTTATCTGCTCTGTATTTCCAAATTAATAAGAAAAACTTAGAGCATCTTCAACAGCTTCTCCAAATTTTTTTTCAAAATGAGGAAGCAAAAGTCAAATTCTCCAACTAATTTTTACACCAACTCCAACAGCTTCCCCATTTTGAAGAATCTATTTTTTCCTCTAAAAATTTAAAGAATGCTGCAGATTTGGGGAAGCTTCCCTATTTTTTCTCCTCCATCCCTATTTTGGGGAATGAGATGGGGAATCTCTTGGGCCAAAAACCTAACTAAATTCTTCAAATTTGAGAAATGGGGAAGCTGTTGGAGATGCTCTTATAAAATCAAGGACTCATTTGGTATGAGGTTAAAGCAATCATGGTTAAACTTTGATATGGTAATTATTATCCTAGAACAGTTGGAGAGGGCAACGCTCATCTGTTTGCTATTACAGGTCATAAAGGTTAACATTTTTTGCAAAAGGATTTCTATCACTCTCGACTCAAAATGCATAAATTACAAAAGCCCTCTCAAAATATTAAACTTATAAATAACCTTCAAAAAATTTCTGACAATTATAAAAAACCTCATCTCATGCACAAATAAAAATTTATAGAAAACGCCCTAAAAATTCAAAATTTAAAAAAAAACACCCTAAAATTTTCAAACTTGTAAAAATTACATTGAAAATATAGGATTACAAATGTCTCGCTGAGAGTTTTAGAATTTACAAAAAAACCTTAGAAACTTCAAAAATTGTGAAAACACCCCCAAAGATTCAAAATTTATAGAAAACACCCTAAAAGATCAAAACCTACCGACAAGTTTTTTTATAAATTTCAAATTTTTGGTGGTGTTTTTGTAATTTTCTAAACTTTTAGGGTATTTCTTGAAAATTTCTAACTTTTAGGGTTTTTTTACAAATCTCAAATCTATAAAAAATTTAGTCTTTTGTTTGTATTTTTGAAATTTTCACGGAGTTTTGGTAAATTTTTAATTTTTAAGGTCTTAATTTCAAATTTTAAACTTCTGGGGTGTTTTGTGCAAAGTATAAATTTTTAGGTGGTTGTTCGTAATTGTTGGTATACTCTTTATAGGTTTGAATTTTCTGAAGTGTATTTATAAACTCTTTATAGGTTTGAAATGATTTTTTTTTGCAATTTTCAACACGTCTAGCGTGCTTTTTGTATATTCTAAAAAATTTAAGGGCCTGTTCATAGGATTGAAATCCTTGGGGTGTTTTTTATGAAGTTTAAGATTTGAGGGTGTTTTATGCCATTTATAAAAATTTAGGATATTTTTTGAAAATTTCAAAAATTTAGGAGGCTGTTTGGAGGTCATAGAATTTAGATATACTATCTGCATGTTTTGGAAATTTCAGATTTTTTTGTAAATTTCAAACCTTTTAGGGTGTTATCAGCAAATTTCAAAACTTTTAGAGTGCTGTCTTCAAGTTTTAAGTTTACTCGTGGCCTGTTTGTATGTTTTGAATTCTTTAATGTTTTTTTAAGTACGGAAAATTTCAGAATTTTTTGTGATTTTTATTGAGTTTTACATTACTGAAGGTGTTCTTGTAATTTTATAATTTGGTTGGGGGGTTTATTGACAAATTTTTTACTTTACAAGGGATTTTGTCAATTTTTAGGTTTCAAAAGGCTTGTTGCAAGTTTTATAAATTTTTAGGGGGTTTTATAATTCCACGTGCTTAAATGAACTGATCCTCAACTTTTCACCGATTTTTCTCACATCCCCTAACTTGGTTAAAATTTTACCCTCATATGGGGTTGGAACTTTATGCTTAGTAAAGTTTTAGAAGGATAACAAACATAGATAAAGATAAAATAATGTTTAACATTGTAAACTTTACCCCCCACTTTGCCCATGTACCACACAAACCCCAAAAACGAAAAGTACTTAATTGTACTTTGATATTAATTAATAATGACTACCGATTAATCAATTCCTCTCTGGTGGTAATAGATTTATAGCATGATTAGCAGTACTCAAAACGTGATCTTGGACTAGAGATAGATTGGAATTCACCTATTGATCTGTTATATTGAAGTCGCACGTTAAACGCCAAGCCCAGCGTGCTTGATTTGTGTACACGTGCGTTTAGTTGACGAAGGCTCAAATGAAATTACAAGAGTCCTTGCCCTTTTTTACTGGGAAAAAATGAGAACAAGGGCCAGGCATCGCATTAGAGAAAAGCCTTAAATAATAAGCTCCATGAGCGCTCTCCTCAATTTTTACCATAAAACGCATCCACCTTAATTCATAAGTTGGACAAATTTTCAAAACCGACCACTTTGGATTTTTAATTGCAAAAAACAACCCATTTCACTCTTATTTATAAAAACCGACCCAGTTGGTTGAAACTGGGTCGGTTTTTAAAAAAAATTTTCCCAAACTTCACGGGAGTTGAACTCCCGTGAAGTTTTGTTATAAGAAAAACTTCACGGGAGTTGAACTCCCGTGAAGTTTCCCAAAAAAATTTTAAAATACCGACCTGTTTTCAACCCCTGGCTGAAAACAGGTCGGTTTTTATAAATATTTTCAAAACCGGTCGTTTTTTGCAATTAAAACCCTAAAGGGGTCGGTTTTGAAAATTTGTCCTTCATAAGTTCCACGGGTTTTGACCAATCGAATAGATTTTGCTGGAGAAAATAGGAAGTATATAGAGCACCTTTCATGAGATTTTAACAGATTTTAGACACTAACCAAGTTCATTACTCTGAGACAACCTTGAACCAAGTTCAAATTTCATTACCCAGAGCATTCCGCGGGCAAGGTGTTCTGAGCCACTGATTGGAGGAAATTTCACCAAAACACACAAATAGGAAAAAACATGCACGTAGGAATACGCTATTCGTAGCCAAGCTACAGATATGTACGGATGCACAGATGTTGACACGCTCATGGAAACGTTTTTTACACCCAGAAATCATCAAATGGAACAGACGGACATATGTACCCTGAAAGTCACAAAGGAAATTTTAATAGAAAAGAGTGCAAAGTATTTCTATATAAGGATTCTGAATTCGGATATTAAGAGTACAGCACTACAGCTTATAACGGATTTGCACTCGCTCAGAATCACCTCAACAGAAGACATGACCATATATAGCATAGCTCGATATAAACTGTGTTGCTGCTCGTACGAAAGAAAGGGTTCACATATTAGGTCCTCCTAATCTTCGAGAATGTTCCAACCTCAGAGAAGTAGGTGCTCTGGGTTCCACCACCAAGAGCATTCCCATGGGCTTGGGGGTTCGACAGTTCTATTCCCTGAAAAAAGCGATAAGATGAATTTAGAACTTCTCTTAGATTAAATGATTACATTCATATTGGTAAGCAAGCTTGTATTCTTGATTTCAGGTTTGATGAGTAATAGCTATTAGAAAAAGCATATTCAAAGCTAGCTCAAAAACATGCTATCCTAAGATCCTAGAATAAATATCTTACAAAAGAAAGGAAAACTAGAACCCTAATCTCAAGTATAAAGCTCTAATGGGCCGAAGCCACCCTTTCTGAGTTAGTTTGCAGCAGTAACACTTGCAGAAGATAGCAAGGAAGAGAAGAACATGTAACCATACTGTTCTCCCCCACTTTTGGACAGAAAGGGAACAACTAAATAAGATGAGCAAAGAAACCAGAAAAGGGTAAAGAGAGAAGAAATGAATGATATTAAACCCAAAATTACTACTTAAACTTTAAATGTACCACATTCCAACTACTGCTTCAGCGACAGAAAATTTCTGATTCATAATTATTGATTAGGTTTGTGTGTTTTCTTAATCAACGTATGCAAATTCGACAACGTTGAGAATTTGTCTTAACAGTTCCACTTAAAATACTTGGGAAATTTAAAGCTAGAGAAATCAGCCATGGTTGAGGATTAAACCATAGCAAGAATCACATAACAGCTGGGAGCAAAAGCACACAGAATTCAGAAGCTGAGATTTTAAGCAAGAGAATGCACTGCTTCATATATACACACCTGTACAGGAGTAAATGCTAGGCTTGATGTCAGTCCTGAGGTAGCACCACTGCTTCCGTACTGCTTCTCCTTAAACCTGCATTGGTGAAAAATTAATTACTCAAAGAGATACATCACCAGACAAAAACAACTGTTAAGGAACAAAGAAACTTGTGATTTTCTTACACAATTTAAGAAAAGGAAAGAAGTGAGAAAGAAACAAAATCAACTTCAAATATTTAATAAGCCATATTCCAGTGAGGGGCTATGAAAAGCTTACTTCTTAGCAGCTTTAGCAGCAAGTTTACTTTGTACAACTGAGACACGCAACTTTCCGCTTCCTGCCTGACCAAGCATTCCATACCCCTCGCCCAAACCATCACCTATCAAAGGAATAATAATAGAGTTAAAAAGGGACTTAACGTGACTGAAAATTTCTGAACTCATACTTTGACATAAAACATTCAGTTAACTAGTCTGACATTATCAATATTAATGGCCTACCCCTTTTGCTAACTCACAAAATGTGCATAACATAGAGCAAATTTGTGTCAGTTTCATCTAAAAAGAAGCTAAAATGAACTTTATCAATATTTACAAAAAATAATAACAAATGATTGTTAGAAGAAAATTAGAGAGACCATGTATCAATGTAAACAAAGTATATTGGGGATAACTCACAAAAAAATGCATGATATAAAGTTAAAGTATTAATCAGTTTAATCTAAAGAGAAGCTAAAATAGATTTCATCAATATTCATGAAAAAAAGATAAAAATGAATGGTTATGAATTGTTTGTTCATCCTCTATAAAACATTGTCTTTTAAATCTAAAATAAATTTTGCCGAATAAGCTAATCATGGTCCATCATGAAATCTTCGCTTGGATTGAAAGGTTGCATCTTAATGGATGTAATAAATGGGTGATTGCTTCCATGAAAACAGAGGATCTTGGTTTATTGCTATCTTCTTGGTATTGAAGGAAATCCCATTTTACACAAGACTGAATGTAGGTTGGGAAGTTGGTACCATCCAAGATAAATTATTGAAATATTTTTATTTGATTGCTCTGTCTCTGACTCACACAATCACACTCTTAGTTTATCTAATTCAACTTACATATTGTTACCATATCCCATTTTATTGCCTAAACTAGCATTGCTGTATTTTGAGCATTGTTGTATTTTGTGCATTCATACTTTGCATGTAACCTATTCACCCCATCCCAGCAGCCACCCCTCTTCCTGTATCTAAGGTTACCTACCAGTGTTTTAAGTAGTATTTCAGATGCTTTGTTGAATTGCTTTAAAAAAATTAGTTAGCCTACAAACAGGCAGTAGTTCTACTTGAATTGCATAAACAAACAAAATACAAATAAACTCAACAAACAAATAGTAAAAGCTAAGTTACAGATACTAAGGCGTTATGGTAGAGTACACTACACAAATGCTTCTATGAACATACAACATCCATAGCAATAAAGAATGTGGAAGTAAATAAACCAAAATACAGATAACCTCAATAAATCAATACTACAATTTAGTTGCACATTTTCAGGCAGCACGGAACAATACATTTACTGTATATATGTAGATGCTGCAACAAAAATAGCATATATCCATAAGCAACAAACAAAATCTCAAAAAAAAAAATCAAATGTTTTACACGGTCTCAAAATGTACTATGGTTATTGCAAAGCATCAAGTTGCCAATGGCATCTACCAGCCTGATAAGAAAAGGTTACAAACTACTAGATATTTCTTGAACAAAAACAAGCGTTTTCTATATTATTAAAAATACCACATTGGAAAAAAAAAAGAAAAAAGTGATGACACAAAGGACAAATTATAACCAACAAAGCCACACAAACTTACTGACCTAGGGAACTCTCTTCTGGAACTCCAAATTGCATTCGGTTGGCCAGCTTCCTCATATCAGTAATTGCATATCTGCCAAATGTGCAATAAGAAAACGATTAAGTAGATAAGATGTGATAATTAGTAGAACAATAAAAGGTAAAAGGAAGCATATTGCTTAGGGGAATCTTGCTAACAAAACAAAAATGCCACCTTTCTTTCTTTTTCCGGAGCCTACGACCACCTCTCTTCTTTTTAGGCTCAGAATCAGGAACTGGAAGAGGTTTCGGTTGCTTTGCAGGGGGAGGCTCCTGCCACTTCTCAATCTTCTTACGAATTTCGTCCAGCAGAAACCTGCCAGTTTTTCCAGTTGGGTCCCCTCTTATTGAATCTACTCTTGCTGCTAGGGTTGATTTTGAAGCCAGCAGTCGGCAAGCACGCATCTTGAGAGAAGGAGGAGTGGTCTGATAAATCTCAGATTGTTCAAGAAAACCTACATGAATCTGAGAGGTTGCAGAAGAAAATCCAGCAAGATTCTTTTTCTTTGCTCCAAGGACCTGAACGTTGCAAGCGGGCATCTTTGCTAGTGCTGATAAACCACCAGCAGTTCCCATAAGTTTTGCAGCAATTTCAGTGCCAACAATAGCAGAAACATTTGGGGCTATACGTCCCATCCTACTCTCAACAAAATCAAGTACCTGCTTCTTTGCCAAATCAAGAGCAAGAGCTCGATCACACGCATCAATTGTTTTTTTCAGGTTTTCTTCTGAAAGAGGCTTGCCGCTTGTAGTTGAAGCTGTAACTGATACAACCATGATAATAGCTGAGGGTAGAAGACCCTCCAAATCAACAAGTGTTAGATCCATCTCGTTTCCAATTTTTTTAACCAATAGCTGAGGGTAGAAGACCCTCCAAATCAACAAGTGTTAGATCCATCTCGTTTCCAATTTTTTTAACCACCCGCGCATAATCAATGGGATGATGAACAAACAAGTGTTAGATCCATCTCGTTTCCAATTTTTTTAACCACCCGCGCATAATCAATGGGATGATGAACAAGAGACTCAAGCTCAGGGAACTTCAAGCGATAGTTGTCACGTATAAAGTTGTGTACTATAATAATCTCATTCTCAATATCAACTGATAAAGCATTGCAATCCACAATAAGCTGATACTCAGGATCTTCCTCCAAAACTGATGAATTATCAGCTTCAGATACATCCAATCCTTTCTGGAGCGCATCTTCCACTTTCTGCAGTTAGCCAAAAAGAGGCACAAAGCATAAATGCCAAATTGTTTTTCTTGTAATCATAAATTCCAGCAATAAGTACTTAAAAGATAATGACAACAACCTTGGATAACTGTTACAGCTTGGGTAAAAATAAAGGAAAAATAGTTATTGAGTCGCTAAATATAAGGAACCAGAGCATAAAAAAATCTGAAAACTGTGAAAATAAATAAATAAATGAGTCTAATAACTGTTAATCCCCATCTTAAAACATTTCTTCCAAATCCAAAAAACACCAAAGCATCTGTTATAATGTCTGTCACATACCCTTGGTGCACTTCAGCAATATATGCACCATAAATGTTAATATCAAAAGTTCAAACAAAAAGGAGGAAAACTGAAATATTCAGAAGACAATGACATATGAGAAAAAGTAATATCATAGCGCACTACGACTTTCACACATTGCAAGAGAACGTTATTGGAATCTATTATTAGTACAAGTAGCAAAGTGCTATAAGTGTACTAGGATGTACTCCAACTTATTCACGAGAGGACAAGAAAAAAGCTCAAACCAGTAAATATGAAAGGCTAAGTTTGAATTGATAAGTAAATCATCCTGGGAAAAAGGAAGTATGTCCTATATCTAGCCTGATTTTTCAAAGGAAACTAAAAAAACACAACTTTCACAGAGTATATATTTGGAGACAGATTTTTTTCCTTCTTTTTTTAAAAGAAACTAAGAAACATGTCATCATTCATCTAAGTTGAAAAAAGAAATCAATTATTTCCAATGTATGTATACCTGCATAATATCAATATAGCGTTGTGTCTTCTGCAATTTCGAAACACTATCAAGATCATCATAATTAAGAGCCTCAATATCCGCAATATCACCATCACCATCTTCTTCCATTTCTGCTACATCAGCATCCTCATTGTCCTAATAAGAAAAGTGAAACATCAAAGAAAATTCAGCCGCCTTTCAAGAAACAAAGAACAAGTCATTCATATAGAGAGGATGAAGAGATATGTAACAACGTCCCGCATGCAAATACCACTTTTATCATCAGAAGTTCTTAATAAATACAACTATACTGGAAATAAAATAATATACTTACAGTAAGATTCACTTCATTGTCAGACAGTTCATCAAGATCAGCCAAGAACGAATCGGCAAGGTTGGCCTGAGTATTACCAAAAACAATAATTAGCATGAATCTATAAAAAGAGAACTCACATATGAACTGTCAACTGTGCATTTAAAGTCAATAAACAATTGCTTCAGAAAATTTTGAAGTTGGTTGACTAACGCATGCAATGGGGGTGTTAACATAGTACAGTAAGAAATAAAGAAATGGATATTCTCCATGGTTTTCAACTTCTATGGAAACTAGAGAGTTTCAGTCCATTTCAGACACATGCCAAATTCTAAATTGCAATGTTCAAAAACACGGTTTTATTATCTGTGCGGTTCGAGAGCGAGTCACGATTAATTGGATTATGCGGAATTATGCGTTTTTGAATTTTTTTTCACATATATTTATTCACAAAAATGAATGTCAAAAACTGATATCATAATTTATAGAGCTCTGAGTCTCTAATTATTCATAGTTAGTATAACAGAAATGGATCAAGAGACAACATGATATGTTCCCCTTTAACTTTCATCAAGCACAAGGCAGCTTGGGGAATGGGGAGCACATTGATTCTGGGAGTGGATGAGCATTGAGTCCTTGCATCAACAAACAAAAAGTTATAGCTGATGATGGTGTTGATTTAAAATAAGTAAATTTAGGACTGAATTAGCTCACTTGGGTTGAAATGATGTATCTAATAATAGTTTAATGCAAATAGCAGCCTCCTCGATGAAACTGGTATTTTTAAAATATAAGCATATAGTCTACAAGCTTTACCGTAAGTTCAAAGATTCATGAATGCAAATGGATGATTGTTTAAGCTTTCTATATGAGATGCCGAACAAAAATGAAATAGCTTTCTTAATGTTTCTTCCTTCCACCTCCATTTGAACCTTTTATAATGACCAAAAGCATCAGTTTTGAGTTTTCTAACCTTCGAAGGAGAAGTCCACAGAAGATGGTGAAGACTCGAAGCTTCGACAGAAGATGGTGAACGCTACGAGGAAAAGGCGGTGAAGAGGAGATCAGGAAGAAGATGGAGATAATTGGAACATGAGATCTTCCTAGCTGTGGAAGAGGAAACACGGAGGTGAAGAAGAGATCCGGTGTGAAGAGGACAATCAGCAGGGAAGATGGAGAGGAATTTAGGGTTTTTTTTTTCTTTTTTTTCACAGAGACAGCGGAGCTAGGCTGCAGAAGGAATCAGGACTTAGGGATAAGCATTCGGGTGGTTTTTTGGGTTTAAAACATTTGCGGGTTCATTTTTTGGACCCGAAACCCGTTAATACCCATCTTTAAAAAACGCCCGCATACTCTTTTTATGCGGGCGAGTATGCGGTTTTCGCTCAATCATGCGGCTGTTCGCATAATTGAGCGAATCAGTCCATTTCCAAGCGTAAATGCGCCGATTCCGCATACTTGCCCGCATATTCGTGCGAGTAACATATATTTTTGAACACTGCTAAATTGCATAAAGCATCTATAAATTCTATAGCATACTTGTGTGCTACGATTATTTTCCTGTTTCCTTGAACAACCTATAGATTATGAGATAACTACAAATAATACATAATACAATGTTAAAGGATAGGAAAAGAGAGAGGTTGTAAAGATGTGGGGTCGATTCTGATTAACACAAATCATAGCTAGAAATTGGCGTCTATGAAATGCGCAAAAAACATGTAGTACTGCCCTTTTTCCTCAATCTATTTTCATCTCCAAGGAGTCTATCTCAAAAGTTGCAGGTATAACAACAACTCTTGAACAAAAGAACAGATTAGATGAGGGGGGAAAAAGTATTCTGGACTTTATCACCAAAGAAATTGCTAAGACTAGGAGTACCCAAGATGCCTAGTCAGAGCCTCACAGGCATCCAACATAATGTTAATCTGCTGATATTCTAATTACTACATTTCGTTGTTCGTACCTTGATTTAACTAAAACCTTTAACAATAGTTAAAGGTGATAAATGTTACTAAGTAAAGATTCTATAGCATACTTGTGTGCTACGATTATTTTCCTGTTTCCTGGAACAACCTATAGATCATGAGATAACTACAAATAATACATAATACAATGTTAAAGGATAGGAAAAGAGAGAGGTTGTAAAGATGTGGGGTCGATTCTGATTAACACAAATCGTAGCTAGAAATTGGCGTCTATGAAATGCGCAGAAAAACATTTACCACTGCCCTTTTTCCTCAATCTATTTTTCATCTCCAAGGAAAAAGTATTCTGGACTTTATCACCAAAGAAATTGCTAAGACTAGGAGTACCAAAAATGCCTAGTCAGAGCCTCCCAGGCATCCAACATAATGTTAATCTGCTGATATTCTAATCACTACATTTCGTTGTTCGTACCTTGATTTAACTAAAACCTTTAACAATAGTTAAAGGTGATAGATGTTACTAAGTAAATGTGTACTAAATATTAATGCTATACCAGCTGATGTTCAATTGTAACTACATATTTACACATAAAAGAAATAGAGAGGCATTCAAGAATATGCTTTTATGCACGTAGAAATGAAAATCCATGGATAGTTTCTAGGATATAAGGACTTTCTAGAATAGTTTGGGTGAATCCATAGATCTCATCTTGAATTGATATACCGTGGACCGCGTGCATTCTCCACAGGTAGAGTTATACTGGGTTAGAATCCAAAGGCCTTGCTTAGAACCGCAATAACTCAAACACAACCAATTAAAAATTAGGCTTAATTGCACTTAAATACCCTATAATTTCACCTAAGTTGCACTTGTATACCCTCAATAGTTTTTGGCAGCACTTATATACCCTCAATAGTTTTTGGCAGCACTTATATACCCTAAAATTTTTTAAACTTGCACTTAAATAGTCTAACAAGTAACAATAGCCAAGCTTCCACGGCATCATACTCGTTGTAAGCTTTCTTCTTTCCTTGTTCCCTCATTTCTCTCCTACTCGTTTCTTATTTCCAAATTTCAAATATTCCAAGTTCCACGAAAAGTAAATATTCAATATTCCATGGGAAGACTCTACATTCTGTATATTTGTATGATTATTGATAATGTCTTGTGCTAGTTTGTTGATAAAACTAAGTGCGTCAACGAAACATAATAATTGCTAGCATCACTCAGCTTGCAAAAGATGCATGCCTAACTTAATTCATTTCTAACGAAGACAAGAGCTTTCTTTTAAAGATAGAAGAATTCACTAACCATTGCTTCAATATACACGAACACGCTCCAGTCAAAAATTCAGCAATATCCAATGCTATATCTGCAAATCACAGCACAGAAGCAAGTAAACTCTCGATATTAAGCATAAAAAATGCAATTCTAAATAGCTGAAGATTCTCCAATGTCACCCCCCAAAAAATTAATTTTCTACCAACTTAAAGAATATTAAACATCGAAACAACATGGTCATAAGTGAAGAGCTCTAGCTACAAATTACTCGATTTCTCGTCTAAAAACAAGGGAAATAGAAAGAGCGTTAAGAAAAATTGTCAATGGTTTATCGAGTTTATAGTTGGAAAACAGATCAAGACACTTAATTTTAATATATCACCTAAAATGGAAAGAAAAATTTCCAGAAATCTGAAGTTCGCCAGAGAGTATTAGGGTTTCAGATAGA